TTCATCGAGAATAAAGCGTTTCGGATCGAGTTCTAGGTCAAAGCGAGTTAATTGATTCGCCAAATATTTTCACAAGCGCCACTCGATCCGACGTTTGTGGTAGAGAAATTTGATAATTGACAAACATCGGGGGGAAATTGATAGCGACAGGACGCGAATTAATATCCGGTACGTGACCGACGAGCGTATGTGGCGCAAACACAGCCGAGTTAATTTTGATCTCCTTCGCGGTCGGACGTCGGTCCAAGAAGCCATTCGGACAGGCAATATTCGGTGCGCGGAAAATGTCAGTGTATTCCCAAATACCAGCGCGTAAACGAGCAGTGAACGTGAGCACTGCTGAGGAATACACCCACTTGTTAACTCTACATAATCTAATGTTTGCTCGAAGAACACACATATTATTGAAATAAAATTAAGTTATACACAATGCCATTCGCATTGGTGTGAGCTATTTATATCTATTTATATGTACAAAATAGCATATAATTCGTGCGCTTTTAATCGTGCGTAAAGCACGCAACGCATGCATTTTTTATTTCCTCTCTTTTTGATTACGCTTTTTGATCACGCGCATTCGCGGAATCCTAAAAAGCAATTTTTTTATGTCTCGCGTGTCAATGAAATTCCATGACGTGACGATGCCGCGTGTTTGTTGTTCCCACATGTGTGAGCATGGACTGACCTACTGTCGCCAAGCCCGTTTCACGCTGTTACGAGGGTGTGACGATTGTCTACGTTGCGCACATTGTGCGTTCTCTGGTAATCAATTACAGAGTGTGTTGCGCGCGCGAGCGAGGGGTCGTACTCGGAATCAGATTAATTTCCTTCTTTATTACGTGCACTCATCATATTGTGACATCATGTGTGTCGTCTTTCTGCACCCGTGTAAACACGCCTGGCCTCGTAAATGCATGAATCACACATCCCTCGGTCAACATGATTTAACACATGTGTTTACATTATTTTAAATCAATTTTTGTTACAAAATGCGCGGCCCGGAAGTGGGAAGCATACATTATGTCAGAGGCTATAATTAGACGCAAAACTTTATACTTAAGAAAATTATGTCCTTTGTGTTTTATTTTTAAGAGCCATTGGAAAAGAAAAAGATTAAAAGAAACATAAATTAAATGTAACAAAAGCGCAAAGTTTAAATACAATAAGACAACGTTACTTTGAAGTTGATTAACAGCGATAGATTGATTTATCTCTATTATGTGTCACCTACATCTACTTCTTATCTTCAGTGTATTTCCTCTTAATTCTGTATCTGAACCTAGCACAATGTATTATTTATTGCAACTGTTGCGATATGCACAGTACAATTTTATATGATAAAACATTAACATCAAAAATTAGAGGAAAAATAGCATTTAAATTTAATTGTCCGGAGAATCATGCAATAAATTGCGATTAATAGAGATGTCGTAATTAATTGAAACATAATTGAACATCAATTTCTTCCGGCGTCGTAAATCATTCATTTGATAACCTATCATTCGATAAATTATCAATAGATGATTCTTTTGGCTTGGCGTCGGCAAATCTAACAGTTTTACATCGGCAAGTCGTAGTTCCAAAGAGAGCCTCGACCAAAAGCGATAATTATTTTAATGTGCATTTACATTTCGACTTGTCCTACTTATTGCTGACTAAATGTAAAATGTATTTCGCAGAGGATTTCGCTCGTTACAAGGAAGCATGAAGCAACGAGAAAGAAAAAAGTTCATCATATATTCGATCTATGCGTGGGGCAGCGCTTCCATCCTCACTATCGTCTGTGCAATTATGGATTTCGTTCCCAGCGTGCCGGAGCATTTGATTCGACCGGAATTCGGCACTGACAGTTGCTGGTTTACTAGTAAGTGACGTCGCCATTAAAGCTGGTATATTTTATTAAAATCATATATTGAGAATTTTCGAGACGTTTTTCTTAAATCTGAGAAAATATTTTTTATACGTGCGCTTGGAAAAACGATGTAAAAAATTGATTTTCAGCGGATGCGGCAAAGGCATTGTATTTTTACGGACCGATGGGTATCACTATTGTCTGCAACATTTGTTTATTCATCTCCACGGCGTTGAAGATCATCCGCCACAAAAAGGACACAGCCCATCATCTGAGAGGCTCCGAGAGCAGGCGTCACGATGACAATAAGCAATGGTCATATGAATATTTTGGCATCGATATGCAACAATCTATGTACCTTGTTAATGAGACGCCGATATATCCGCTTGCAAACGGCTTTGCATAATATCGATCGGTTCTCAACAAAATGATTATTTTTAGACGGCGACTTTCCCATGCGGCGGTTTGCTTTCATAATTACGAAATCTTTTGAAGAAACAAACACGTTGCCACCGTTTCGACCACGCGCGCGAGATTCCTCGAGAACGTCTGCGATTCTCTCGAAAGAACGATAAACAATCGTGCGATCGAATAAAATGAAAGTGGACGCTCTTATTTCATAAAGACTAAAATAATATTTCTTAAAAATTCCTTGAAAATTTTGCACAATTATATATTCAAAATTCAACATATTATTTTTTAAGCTTAACTTTAACATTTTTCACTTTTTCACTTTTTCTCATATTTAGGAATATTAGAAATGATAATTGCAATTTTTTAAAAGTATTTACTTTCCCAAAAATATCGGCTACGTCAAACATTCTTGTGCAGGACAAAGTTTTCCGCTCGAATTCGTTTTAGCAGTCCGAGAACTATTATTTGAACCATTTGACTGCGGAACGCTCAAAAGCAAAATGCACACTGCGTTCGAGCAGGCTAAAACAGTAGTTGTTTCTGTATACGAAACTCTTTTTCGTGCATTGTACAAATCTCTTTTGCGTTAAAAAAAATTCACTCAATTATCATTGCAAATAAGATAAATTTTTCGTGCTCAATATTTTATAACTTATTTAATATATATTCATTGCAGGTTCAGTCTATACTTGAAGCTGTTTATTGTAATGGGCATAAACTGGTCCATGGAGATAGTGTCGTGGCTGATCAAGAGCGCGCCGCAATACGTCTGGTATCTTACCGATCTGACAAACACTCTGCAGGGACTCATCATTTTCATCATATTTGTGTGGAAAGAAAAGATCAAGCGGCTGTTGCTAAAGCGCTTCGGCTGCCAGGATCGCGAATTCTTCTCCAGAAATTCGACGCGCAGTGGACTTCACAGCACAGTCTCGCGTACTGGCACCACCTCAACAGGAGTGATGCCCTTGCAAGTGAAAATCAGTCCCTACGTACAGGCAAATTGTCGCACAAAGAGTTCATCCGATGAGGCTGATCCCTAACGTTGAAAGGGAAAGTTTTATCGGTGAATCAAGGGTCGACAATTAATCTGCTACTAATTGTGATGCCATAATTCTCCAATCAAAACTTAATTTTACGTTATTATGCGTTGATCTCTTTATTTAGAATGTCGAAATGATAGTACCTCAGATCTTCACATAAAAAAAGCTTGTCTCTCTTTTTTTTTCCTTTTTTCTCTCTCTCTCTCTCTCTCTCTCTCTTGTTCTCTTTCTATTTTCTCTTATTATTATTGTTTAAATATACTTAGGAGTATTTTTAATGTACTTTAAAAAAATATTATATATGTATATAATTTTTTATTTTTTTATAATATAATATTTTATCAGCATTGCCTTGCATTGTAATAAATTTTTATTAAATTTATTAAATGGCATCTTTTAAAGATTTCACAAGATTTGTACGGAATTATCATAAACCATTATGTTATATTATATAAATATAAACTATTACCTCTTGTTGTAATACAGATTGTAATAGAAATTCCATAAGCGGAACACCTTATCTGTAATTTTTATGCAATTATCTGTTACTGAAGGACTATCATATTATTCAATTTTATTCTTTTTATTTTTACGTTCACGAAATTTTTGAATGATTCATGTATAGTATTTGATATTGATGGATTTTACTCTTATAAAGAATTTACCATGTGTATGCACAATGACATCAATTATCATATAACATTATATTCATTGAAAGCGCATATTCAAGCGCGCTATTCTCATGCAACTTAATATTTTATATAGAAATTTTTTCATAGATAAAAACTATCGATAGATTTATTTGACTCAAATGCAACAATATTTTAAAATTATTTTATATTTATATTTGTCTTTGACCAAATAATCTTACAAATGTCGTAAATCAACTGCTGCATAAGCCGTTCAGAAACCAAATTGATTAACTCCACTTTTGCAATTTTTCCAATTTTAGTGTCAAAATATATGATTAATGCTTAACTTTCCATAAATAAAATAAATTGATGTAGTTTTGTTTGATATAGATAGTCAATTTGGTTTTTGAACGGCTATAAACTATAAATTTCTACAAATCTTACTTTAATATTTAGAACATTGTATGTATGTTGATAAAAATTTTATTAATTTTAACTTTAATTTTAGGTAACACACAGTTCGTGTATATCTGTCTTATTTACCTTCTCGTCTTTTTTTATATTTATTTTTATCGTATGATCTACGCTATTATCGCATGTTTAGTGTTATATATTAAATTCAAGAATACGAAAAATATATAATGAAAAAGATATATATAAAAATATATAATAAATATATAATACACATATATATAATTTTAAATATATATTTATATAGATGGATAAAACAATTTATAAAATGATATTTGATTGCAACATTTATTATTAAACGATGTGACACAAATATTGATCTATATGGCACAAATCAAATGTATTATTTTATTATACATGCGATATTATTATCATATATCGAAAATCCTTATACTGGAACAAATACTTTATATCAAGTATTTTATGAAATATTTATATTTAACTAAAATTTTGTTTATTACAAAATATATTTGTCTATAAAGATTTTTGGAATTATGTTTTATGCAAATATACATATACTACTCCACAAAAAATAGGAAACAGACTTCTTAGACGCACAAAATTGAGCATTTTTAAAACCGCTGAATTATTATTTTACTAAAAGTAGTTTTAATTTTAACGGATTCATGTATTTCTACAAAATTTAATATGCATGCCAATCAAGGATTACTCTAACATAATATTCGAGCAAAATTATATACAATAGTTTTCGGTGATGTGAAAATGCGTATGTGCAGCAAATTGCACATGTATGTAGTATGGAATTATATGTGATTATCGCAAAATAGATTGAGAAACAAATGCAAATTTGTAATTTGACAATCTGTATCACGCACAAACAGATTTATTTACATTATTTTGTTATCGTAACGCATGATAGCTGCGATTCATCTTTTTATATTTGATATCATTCATGTTGTTTTAATAAAATTTTTTTTAATTTAAATTTTTGAAGATATAAATCATATCGCATCTCACGGATCCCAGGACGCGAGATCCCTGAAAACGTATTAATCATTATTATTTGTTCGGGAACATGTCAGCTTGGTGTAAATTGTAATATCGCATCTCACACGCTACGACATGCTCTTTTCGTTTAAGAAATGAAACGCGTGCGTTTAAGAAGGATACTTATTGGAGCTTCTGGTCCTTTGAACAACTAATAAACGAAGTAATTGCGATTGCGGCTCGGCCGCGGAATGCGTCTTTCATGCCGAAGACTTCAATCCGATACGAAAATAAATAGAATGTGTATCCGTCGCGCTTTGACACGACCAGTATGCCTTAACAGTGTCTATTCGCCTCGACTCGATAATTCCGTTTGCCTTTTCCGAAAACGCAGAAACAGAAACGCGCGATTACACGTTATGCAAACACTTGATGATATTATATAATTTAATTCTAATGAAACATTTAAATATAAATTTATCCTTGCAGAGAGAGGACTTTCGCATACAGCACACTCGTTGCAACGTAATTGCAATGTTATTGTTAAATTACATATTATTTAAGTGATTTTTCTCTTCAGAAGATTTCAAACAGATGCATATCTTGAAGTTTTTGATTATTTTAACTGTATTTTAACAATTTTTATTATTTGGTCGCTTTTACTAATGCACCGGTGACATACGTAATTAACAATATTTTTACATGTTAAATTCATGCAAAAGATTTAACTTATTTATTTACTTATTTTCTTATTCCTTCAACAGTCTTGTTCGCATCACTCAAAGTTAGACGACTTGTTTTTAAAATTAAACTTTCGAGAGAAACGAATTTCCTCTTGCGACTTCTATCACAGTTGTCTCTCATTAAAGTTGGCTGTTATTACAGTTGTTTCTAGATGCATTATTCTATGCTATTGCTTGATATCATTATTAATTTTGCAGTAATTAAACATATTTGCGTTGCAGATACGCACTTTTTATTATTACATATCAATGAGTGTTCAATAATGTATTGTCAGTAATCCTATCAAAAACAGCCTGTCGCCCATCAAGACATTTTGTAAATCTTCAAATTTAATGCATATTTAAAAATAAATTTTTATATTTTTCTAAATTTTTGCAAGTTTAAATTTTGTTTTATAATTATTATAAGATTCACACAATTTTTAGAAGGATTAAAAGATTAATACTGTTAATCAAATTAATAATAATTCTAATTGTCATTAAATTCGTTAAGACTTTTCGTAAGAACATTGATACATTCAAATTTCTCAGATATTATGATGCTTTATTTCGAAGAGATAAGTTTATTTTTCTCTCTTTCTTTCTCTCTCTCTCTCTCTTTATTTGTTTACGTTCAATAAGATGATCCGCGCGTTCGACGTACCTTCTGTGAAAGAAGATTAAGAAATCAGTCAGTATTTGGCCGTATACCTGTTGGTAAGCTACACTATTTTCTACTTTTATTCTTTCGTTATAATAATTCATTATAAAAATAATTCAATATAATGCAACATACATGCTCGTACAAGTGCTCTAATAATTGTATTATTATATTGTGATGCAACAATTTTTCTTTTGTGTCGAATAACTAGAAAATTTGATTTTATTACAATTTACCGTGAGCAATTATTTATTACAATGTACGTAAAGTCACTTTTTTTTTATGCGGTATACATACATAATGTAATAACTTGCGCACGCAAATAATGATGTCTTATTACGAATATTTTTTGCAGATTTACTCTTATCTCAGCAAATCTTATTCTTATGATTATGCTAGAATTCGCGTAAATACAAATAGTAAGACGAACGGTTCTAAGTATAATGCGGTTGAAAAGATATTTCATCTAAGATCTTGCATTTATCTTACTTTCACGAATAAAGAATTCGAATAAATTTATTCTTTCATACAAGAGAAAGAGTTATATAATTTTTTGCTGCAACACAATCGATTTTCCGTACTGTAAATTCTCATATTGTAAAAATATTCATAAAATAATAATATTGTCTGAATTCCCGTAAAATAAAGTTTTTTATCATTGCTTCTCTGCTATAAACAGTGGCTAAAGTAAAGATTGAAAATAAAAACGTTATTTGGTTTAAATAGTCAGTGTTCTGTTGTGTACAGCATTGTATGTGTGAAATATTATTGGCACTATACAAGATCTCGTTCAAAACTTGTTAAAGAGTTTAAGATTCGACATTGAAGACAACATGGCAGAAAATTTTAAGCCATCGATTAGTTTTTCGACAAAGTCATTGCTGCAAAAGTTTTCACCAAAAAAACTATTCCCATTAACACCGAGAGAGTCACCGAGAGAGTTACCGGGAGAGTCACCGAGAGAGTCACCGAGAGAGTACCAGAGACAGTTACCGAGTGAGTCACCGAGACTGTTACCGAGAGAGTCACCGAGAGAAGTACTGATAAAGTCACCAAGAGAAACAACGAGAGAATCATTAAGAAGAACATGGAGAGAATCACCAAGAGTAACACCAAGAGTAACACCGAGAGAATCACTAAGAGTAACACCGAGAGAATCACCAAGAGTAACACCGAGATTAATACCGAGAGAGTCACCGAGAGAAACATCGAGAGAGTCATCGAGAAGAACATCGAGAGAGTCATCGGGAGAAACATTGAGAGAGTCATCGGGACTGTCACCAATAAATGTTACATTGAAAAAGGCACTAACAATATCAAGCAGCAAACAGTAAGTTGCCTATTTTTTTCTTTTTATCTTTTAATCAGCAGAAATATGTTGCCATCAAGTGCAACTGCGATATTAGAATAATCGCAGGTGTCAGTTAACGCACAGAATCTGAATAAAAAATTATGTAAAATAAATTTGACAATATTTATCAGGACAACAAATCGCGAAAGAGAAAGAGATCTGAAGAATGACGAATATTTGCAATCCCAGGAATATTTACAAAGCCAAGATTTGAAGTTCTGGCCGCTACTAAGCATCTTACGTGAAGAGTTTCTGTTAGAGATTGAAACCATCATGTGGTATGGAAAGAAAGACGAACGTAATTTGATTTCTATTTTTTTCTCTTTGCTATTTTTATTTTGACGATATATGTTACTTAAATTTCATATTTTTTAAAACAGTTGTGAATTGGCAAACGGTTTTAATTGTAACAAAAGATAAGAACTATTACAGTTTGGACAATAAAGAATTAATAAAAAACCCTGTAATAAATACTGTACAAATTCAAAAAGTAGAAACTCTGTGTCAAAAAGATATCATAACCATGATACATACCAATGACTGTTCATTCGTACTGACTGAGGAAGGAAAGGTATATTGAAAAGTTATCGATATATAATATAGTAAAGCGTGCACATATATTAATGTTTTTGTAAAAATATTGATTTTATTTATTGAAGATAAATAGTTTCTTCTTATGACATTTAAATTAGAAAATTTAAGCATTAAAAGGAATTAAGAGCACAACATCGTAAAACGATTGCAGATTTTGTTCTTTGGTTGAGTAGAAATTAAACACGAAGCTTCAAAGTTAAGATATATGTATTGTGATACATTCTTTTTCATACTCTGATAATTTGATAAAGATCGAGATAACTAATATGCATGTTTTGTATATTTATTTTCACAATACTATTTACATATGTAATTTTAATTTTTTTTTTTTGCATATCGAATACTTTGCTAAGATAAATACATAAAAAAATCTTTACATTTTTTTTTATATTTATCGATATGAAAAGTCACCATAAATTATTTTATAAAATTTGTAAAAAGCTTAAAATTACAATTTCTACAAGCTTACAAAATTAAATAGCATTCTGCCAGCTGAGTAATGCAAGCCGAACTCTCCAAACTTTTCCATTTTTATACTTGATTTTTGTAATATCTCGTGTATAAAAGAAGTGAAATAATCAAAATCTCTGACAATCTATTCTCTATTTTAGATATATTCCTGGGGCCTCAATGCATTCAGCATGTGTGGACATGGAGTGGATTATGTAATACCCTTCCCTCTTGAAATGTTAGATTTTGTAGACAAACGAATAGCGGACATTAGATGTGGTGATACTCATGTTCTCGTGCTCACCGACGATAGAAAGGTAAAGTTGAGATATAACAATGATAATTATGATCGTTGTGAGTTACACAATTTTTTAATTTAGATGTACAGTTGGGGAGAAAACTTTTCCGGGCAAGTTGGTAATACTAATGATGATGTGGTTCGAAAACCTATGGAAGTCATAATTATGGATAAATTCGGTAAAAAAAAGGACATTAAAGGCATTTCTTGCGGCTCTAATTTCAACATGGTTGTTACTTGCGACGGTCAACTTTATGGTTGGGGCGGAAATACATTTGGTCAACTTGGACTTGAAAATAATATCGAAAAGATATATCGGAAACCGATAAAAATCCCGATAAATGTCGCAATAGGTAATTTATTTGCTTGAAAGCTAGTTGTTGCAAACAAGTGATGAAGTAAATATCTCAATGTCCTAATATTAGACCACTTATTAACAAAACAATTACTATTCAATACTTATAAATGTGAAAAAATCTAAAAATGATATTTAAAAGAGAGCTTTAACAATTTAAGTTTTGCATATAAAATAAATTAGAAATTGTTTTGTAATACTTAATTATATAATAATTACACGACGAAAATTTTATATCAAAAATTACTATGTACGGCATTAACCGCGGACCATGAAGTCGCGGACCGAAAATTATTACTATGTTTCATATGTAAAAAACATAATAAAAATTTTTATAATTCCTTCATGGTCCACGGTTACTACCGTACATAGTAATTTTTGATATAAAATTTTCTCCGTGTAGTACAATGATTTATGAGATATGAAGTTATGTAAAGCAATTTAGATTGATTCTTATTAAGTGATTTTATTAAGAGTAAGTAATAATATTTAATAGCTAAAAAAATATATTTCCGATCAATATTAAAACCAAATTCTGAATTTCTTATTTCAAAAGTATCTCGCACATGTATTCTACATTATGCCAGGATACTGATATTTTTAATACGTAATTAACTATTAATTAATAATCTTAATTGTGATTTTATTTCTGTTACGTAAACTTTTATCTTTGTCATACAAAACAGATGAGAAAATATTACTTTGATAGAAAAAATAATATTTTTAATAATGATTTGAATGTCCGGCTACTGTGACATTTAATTTATCTAAGACTTGCCGATGCAAGTTATTTCACTGAGCAAACGTGGCGTTTTCAGCAAAAGTGGAATGCGGATCTCAACATACGTTGGCGCTTACTCAGGAAGGGTTGGTCTATGTCTGGGGTAGAAACAACGATGGACAATTGGGCATCGGGAGCTGCGTGGACTATATTGTTACTCCCGTTACGGTAATCGCATTATATAATCGTTGTAAATAATAATAGAGACGAGAGGTGTATACAATAATTGAAGCGTTTGATGATCGACAGATAAGCACAAGGAAAATCGGGAAGATAATGGATATCGTCACTCGATATGATTGCACGAGAAGTGTAGTAGTTAATGAAGACAACCGTATTTACGTATGGGGTTCATCTGTTCATGCACCCACATGTTATTTGAGTCCACATGATATTAATCTTAACAATATATATAATGCGTTTCAAGATCTTAGAAGCTTCAAAAAAGTACACAATCCCTGTAGAAGCCTAAGCAAACGCGACAAATTATCAAATGTTTTGTCTGCAACATATTTGGGAACTGTATTCGACAATTGCGTATGTAGTTTTCTTTATTTCGTATTTTTTATTTTTTTTATATTTTAAAGTATAAAGTAAAATAGAGAGACGGTGATGAAAAAGATTTGCATACCTCGTTTTTCTAGAGCAATTTTGAACAAAAAAAAATTATATTTAAAGTGCATCCTTTGTGATACATTAATTAAAACAATGTACACTTGGATGGAAATAGCTCTCAGTAATATCTTTTTTTTGTTGCCAACTATTACAAAAGAGAGAGAGAGATAGAGTGTGTGCAAATACTTTTCTTTACTATTGCAGAAGCGTTAGAGACAAGAGACAGAAAATATAGCTAAAATCTAAATAGACCTAATAATATTCTTCCGTAGTTAAAATTATATTACATAATTAGTAAACATAAACATAATTATTCGTATCCGTATAAATGAATATATGTATATACAGTAGTCGAACATAAAATTACTTTTTTTTATTTGAAAGATAAAAATTCATTTCTAGTGCTCGTACTCGGCAAGAGAGAAGCTAGTCTTATCAAATTTAGCTTATTCAAATTCTGCTGAAACTTGCTGCTGATAAAATTCATGCGATAATTACTAAAGGATAAAAAATCGCATCCTTTTTATAGCATATTGATTGATTTTGAACGGTAATTTTGTAATTCGGAACTACTGTATGTACATAATTAATTAATATGTGTGTGTGTTAGATTTATTATATTTTTTCGATAAAATCTGATTTAAGTAAAATTATTACTTTAAAATTTGCTAAAGAATTTAAAAAAAAACTTGTAAGAAATATTGTTTCTAGTCTGCATGATATATATTTCGTTTTTTTGTCTGTAATAATTCTCATTTTTTATTAATATAGATGTCAGCCGATGTTGAGTTAATAGCGTATAACAAATCTATATATATTCACAGAAATGTCATTATGATTAAGTGTCCGGAAATGTATAAAAAATTTTTTATGCATAACTCAGACAGGTAAGTATTCACCACAGAAACAATATTGTTCTTATTAAGAATTCTTATTAAGAATTTAAACTTATTTCACGTTGTATGTCACCGTGTTCTCAATAGTGTCATCATACGAAATGATTTCTCTGCTGCTTCATATAAATCCTTCTTAAAATATTTATACACTGGTGTAATTGTCCTACCTCACGAGAATTCATTAGGTAAGCTCGAGTAAAGTGTATTGTCTGATTGTACCGTAATTACTTATAAATTATGACTAAAGTAACATTTCGTTACAGAGATCTACGTATTAGCTTCTTCTTACGGCGATAATATCTTTCTGAAAACTTGCATTCGGATGTTAAAGCAAAGGATCAACGTATTAAATGTCCTTTATTATTATGTCGAGGCGATATCACTGCAAATAAAGGTACTTTTTTTCAATATTACTTTTAAACCTTCGCATTCTATGATTAATTCAACATTCTCTTTATCGATTCGATAATTAAATACAAAATTTTCGATTTTGAAAAATAAAGAAAACATTGTCTTTTATTATGATGCATAAAAATATCTTCAAGTTTTAGTAACATTTTTATATTTTACAATTTAATAAAGTATAAAAGATCACAATTTAATAAAATATAAAACATTACAATTTAATGAAGTATAAAACACATATTTCTAGATGTTGCAACATTTTATATTTTTAGTTTGATTATTTATTTAAGTATAATTTGATATTTGAACTGCTAGAATAAAATATAATGTCGGGTACATGCTTCACTGTTGATTTATAAGGATTAACGCTATTGTTAATTGCAATTTACTCATACATGTTTATTTATATGCTCGTTAAATGTCGCGTAAATTTGCAGGAAATAGAGGAGTTCTGCTTGGCGTATGCCATAAATAATCTGACGGCTGTGGTAAAGACAAATGGTTATGCTAACTTATCAGAAAAGATGCGGTATGATTTTATGATTGAAGCAGCCAATGAGAACGCTTTTAAATATTAATTTGTCTGCTTAGGTATTTATTGGTCATTTATTAACGTATACTAATAGCAGTCTAATAAATTGATAAAAAATTAGTATAAATAGGTTGTACTTGTTTTAAATATGCAAATGTACCTTATTTAAGTTTGCATTTTGACCGTCTTCATTTATATTTGTTTTTCGTAACATATAGCGTGAGCACATAAATTTGATACAAGATATTAACTTGTATACGCAAATTACGTCGTGTTTTACGAATATTTTTTATGGATTCTTGCTTCGACTAGAGTTAATCTTGTAAGACTCTTATAATTATTTTAGAATTCGCGCAAATAAAAATAGATAGAGACAAAGAAAGCTGTCATACGGAAAAGATAAGTCTTATATTTGGTGATTTATATTAAGTGATGATTATTATAGTATAAATAAGTCTAATATTTGACAAATTTTGATCTTCCAGTTTTGAAATATAAGAATTAAATTAATTAGGAAAAATATATATTTTTTTTAATTACAAAATTATATACATTTCATACATTATTTATTATTAATAATTTTATAATTTTGTTTTTATAATAAATAAAGTCTACGACTTTGCGAATGTATCACGAATCTCAAGACGCGAGATCTCAAAAAACATATTAATCATTATTATTCGCTAGAAATTGCGTCAATTCAGTGTAATTTGTAATATTGCATCTCCCACTCCGCGGCACGCTTTTTTCATTTGAGAAACGAGACGCGCATCCGAGGTTTTTACCGGAGCTTTTGGTTCTTCGAACAACTAAAACGCGAAGGATATACCGCTTCAGCTCGGCCGCGGAATGCGTTTTCCGTGTCGAGGACTTTAAATTGACACAATCTAAAAAAATTATTGGAATTAATTACTGCGCATCATTTAAGATAGCAGAAATACGAATAATAATGAGGTATATAATTGATGCAAAATTATTTTTGATCCTTCAACAGTTTTGTTGGCGTCACTCAAAGTTAGATGACTTGTTTTTAAAAGTAAACTTTTGCAAGGGAAATCAATTTCCGACTTTTATCATAATTGTTTCTAGATGCATTATTCTATGCTATTATTTGATATCATTATTAATTTTGCAGTAAATAAACATATTCGCATTGCATGTCTACTGCGCAAATATGTTTTTATTATTACATATCAGTGAGTATTGAATAATGTATTGTCAGCAATCGGACTGTTAAAAACGGCCTGTCGCCCATCAAGACTTTCGAATCTTCAAATTTAATGCATATTTAGAAAAAAAATTTATATTTTTCTAAATTTTTGCAACTTTGAATTTTGTTTTATAATTATTATAAGATTAACACCATTTTTAGAAGAATTGAAAGATTAATACTGTTAATCAAATTAATAATAATTATAATTGTCATTAAATTCGTTAAGACTTTTCGTAAGATCATTGACACATTCAAATTTTTTAGATATTATGATGCTTTATTTCGAAGAGATATTTATTTCTCTCTTTCTCCCTCTCTCTCTCTTTATTTGTTTGCGTTTAATAAGAACGATCCGTTTGTTCGACTTTCCTTCTGCGAAAGAAGATTAAGAAATCAGTCAGAATTTAGCTGTGTACCTGTTGGTAAGCTCTACTATCTTCTACTTTTATTCATTTGTCATAATTAGTTATTATAAAAATAATTCAATACAATCGTACAAATGTTTCATAAATTGTATTATTATAACGAAAAGCGATGCAACAGTTTTTCTTTTATCGAATAACTAATAAATTTGATTTTTTACAATTTACCGTAAGCATTTTACGTAAAGTTGCTTTTATTTAAGCAGTACCCATACATAATGTAATGACTTGTGCGCGCAAATAATAATGTCTTGTTACGAATACTTTATGCAGAGTTACTCTCATCTCAGCAAATTTTATCCTTGTGCTAGGATTCACGTAAATAAAAATAGCAAGACGAACGAAATTATAATACAGTTGGAAAAGATGTTTCATCTAAGATCTTGCATCTATCTTACTTTTGCAAATGAAGAATTTGAATAAATTTATTCTTTCATACAAGAGAAAGAGATATATAATTTTTTAAAAAATAATAGATGTATCAGGCTCTGATGATTGTTAAAATCAATAAATTTAAAAGGAGCGTAAAGAGCCAACAGCCAGATATTCGTGCGACTACTCTTCAGTTTATTATGTCAATTTTACTTCGGTTTATGTTTATAATTTTTGCGTTGCGTATTTTTTGAATTTTGTAATAACATTGATAAAGGCCTGATGACAGGCTGAAACGTTTGTTTTTTTAATGTATTGTTTAATGGTTATATATTAATACACGATAACCTTCGCACGAATATCTGGCTGTTGGCTCTTTACGCTCCTTTTAAATTTATTGATATAATTTTTTGTTGCAACATAATCGATTTCCCGTACTGTAATTCTCATATCGTAAAAATATTCATAAAAAAATAATATCTGAATGCTCGTACAATAAAGTTTTTTATCATTGCTTCTCCGCTATACACAGTGGCTAAAGTAGACTGAAAATAAAAACGTTATTTGATTTAAATGGTCAGTGTTCTGTTGTGTACAGCATTGTATGTGTGAAATATAATTGGGACTGTACAAAATCTCGTTCAAAACTTGTTAAAGAGTTTGAGATTCGACATTGAAGACAACATGGCAGAAAATTTTAAGCCATCGATGAGTTCTTCGAAAAAGTCATTGCTGAAAAAGTTTTCACCAAAAAATCAAGTGCCGTCATTACCACCGAGAGAGTCACCGAGAGAGTACCAGAGACTGTCAACGAGAGAGTCATCGATAGAGTCATCGATAGAGTCATCGATAGAGTCATCGGACGTGTCACCAAGAAAGTCACCGATATATAATAATACATTGAGAGATGCACTAACAAGTCCAATATCAAGCGGGAAACAGTAAGTTGTCTATTTTTTTCTATTTATCTTTTAATCAGTAGAAATATTTTGCCACCGTTCAACTGCCATGTTAGAATAATCGCAGGTGTCAGTTAACGTACAGAATCTGAACAAAAAATTATGTAGAATAAATTTCACAATATTTATCAGGACAACGAATCGCACGGAAAGAGATTTAAAGAATGACGAATATTTGCAATCCCAGGAATATTTACAAAGCCAAGATTTGAAGCTCTGGCCGCTACTAAGCACCTTAGATAAAAAGTTTCTGTTACAGATTGAAACGATCATGTGGTATGGAAAGAATGACGAACGTAATTTGATTTCTATTTTTTTCTCATTGCTATTTTTATTTTGACGATATATGTTACTTAAATTTCATATTTTTTAAAACAGTTGTGAATTGGCAAACGGTTTTAATTGTAACAAAAGATAAGAATGTTTACTGTTTGGACAATGAAAAAATAATAAAAAGCCATGCGATAAATATTCTAGAGATTAAAAAAGTAGAAGATCTGTGTCAGAAAAATATCAAAACTATGATATGTACCAATGACTGCTCATTTGTACTGACTGAGGAAGGAAAGGTATATTGAAAAGTTATCGATATATAATACAGTAAAGCGTGCACATATATTAATGTTTTTGTTAAAATATTGATTTTATTTATTGAAGATAAATAGTTTCTTTTATGACATTTAAATTAGAAAATTTAAGCATTAAAAGGAATTAAGAGCACAACATCGTAAAACGATTACAGATTTTGTTCTTTGGTTGAGTAGAAATTAAACACGAAGTTTCAAAGTTACCCAGACAGCACACATGTCCAAAATACATCCAAAGGATGCCCAGAGGACGTCCTGTCGTCCTAAAAACGTCTTCGGGATATCCTCTGGACGTCTTTTGGATATGCTGTGCTGTCAGGGTAAGATATATGTATTGTGATACATTCTTTTTCATACTCTGATAATTTGATAAAGATCGAAATAATTAATATGCATGTTTTGTATATTTATTTTCACACACACACACAATACTATTTACATATGTAATTTTAATTTTTTTTTTTTGCATATCGAATACTTTGCTAAGATAGATACATAAGAAAATCTTCACATTTTTTTTATATTTACCGATATGAAAAGTCGCCATAAATTATTTTATAGAATTTGTAAAAAGCTTACAAATTACAATTTCTACAAGCTTACAAAATTAAATAGCATTCTGCCAACTGAGTAATGCAAGCCGAAGTCTCCAAACTTTTCCATTTTTATAATTGACTTTTGTAATATCTCGTGTATAAAAGAAGTGAAATAACCGAAATCTCTGACAATCTATTCTCTTTTTTAGATATATTCCTGGGGCCTCAATGCATTCAGCATGTGTGGACATGAAATAGATTATATAATACCCTACCCTCTTCGAATACTTGAATTTGCAGGCCAACGCGTAGTGGACATTAGATGTGGTTATTTTCATGTTCTCGTGCTCACCGACGATAGAAAGGTAAAATTGAGATATAACAATGGTAATTATGATCGTTGTGAGTTACACAATTTTTTAATTTAGGTGTACAGTTGGGGAGAAAACTATTGCGGGCAGGTTGGTAATACTGATGTTGATTTGGCTCGAAAACCTATGGAAGTCATAATTGTGGATATATTCGGTAAAAAAAAGGACATTCAAAGCATTTCTTGCGGCTCTACTTTCAATATGGCTGTTACTTGCGACGGTCAACTTTACGGTTGGGGCGAAAATACATATGGTCAACTTGGACTTGGAGATAATGCTGCAATGATAAATAGGAAACCGATAAAAATCATAAAGGATGTCGCAATAGGTAATTTATTTGCTTGAAAGCTAGATGTGTGTTGCAAACAAGTGACGGAGTAAATATCTCAATGTTCCGATATTCGACCACTTATTAACAAAACAATTACTATTCAATATTTATAAATGTGAAACCTAAAAATAGTATTTAAAAGAGAGCTTTAGTAATTTAAGTTTTGCATACAAAACAGATTAGAAATTGTTTTGCATATAATATTTAATTATATAATAATTAGTACAATGATTTATGAGATATGAGGTCATGTCATGTGAAGCAATTTAGATTAATTCTTTGTGATTTTAAGAGTAGATAATAATATTTAATAGTTGAAACAATACATTTCTGATCAATCTTAAAAACAAAATTCTGAATTTCTCATTTCAAAAGTATCTTGCGCATGTATTCTACATTATGCCAGGATACTGATATTTTTATTAATACGTAATTAACTATTAATTAATAATCTTAATTGTGATTTTATTTCTGTTATGTAAATTTTTATCTTTGTCATACAAAACAGATGAGAAAATATTACTTTGATAGGAAAAATAATATTTTTAATAATGATTTAAATGTCCGTCTACTATGACATTTATTTTATCTAAGACTTGCCGATGCAAGTTATTTCACTGAGCAATCGTGGCGTTTTCAGCGAAAGTGGAATGCGGATCTGAACATACGTTGGCTCTTACTCGGGAAGGTTTGCTCTATGTTTGGGGTAAAAACGACGATGGACAATTGGGCATCGGGAGCTGCGTGAACCATATTGTTTCTCCCATTACGGTAATCGCTTTATATAATTGTTGTAAATAATAATAGAGACGAGAAGTGTATACAATAATTGAAGCGTTTGATGATCGACAGATAAACACGGGAAAAATTGGGAAGATAACCGATATCGTCACTCGATATGATTGCACGAGAAGTGCTCTAGTTAATGAAAACAAACGTATTTACGTATGGGGATCATATGTTCATAAATCCAAATGTTATTTGAGTCCAATTGACATTAATCTTAACAATATACATGATGCGTTTATAGATCTTAGAAGCTTCATAAAAGTACACAATCCCTGTACAAGCCTAAGCAGACTCAAGATATTAAATTATATCATGTCTGTAACACATTTGGAAACTGTCTTTGACAATTCCGTATGTAGCTTTCATTATTTCCTATTTTTTATATTTTTCATATTATAAAGTATAAAGTAAAATAGAGAGACGGGTAATGAAAAAGATTTGCATACCTCGTTTTTCTAGGACAATTTTGAACAGAAAAGAATTACATTTAAAGTGCATCCTTTGTGATACAATTAAAACAATGTACACTTGGATGGAAATAGTTTTCAGAAATATTTTCTTTTTGTGGCCAATTATTACACAAAAAGGTAGAGTGTGTGCAAATATTTTTCTTTACTATGGCAAAAGCGTTAGAGGCAAAAAACAGAAAATATGGCTGAAATCTAAATGGACCTAAATATCCTAATAATATTCTTTCGTAGATAAAATTATATTTACATAATTAGTAAACATACACATAATTATTCTTATCAGCATAAATGAATATATGTATATACAGTAGTCGAACATAAAATTACTTTTTTTCATTTGAAAGATAAAAATTCGTTTCCAGTGCTCGGCGAGAGAAAAGTCAGTCTTATCAGACACTTTATCAAATTTAGCTTATTCGATTTCTGTTGAAAACTTGCTGCTGATAAAATTCATGCGATAATTACTAAAGGATAAAAAATCGCATCCTTCTTATAGCATATTGATCGATTTCGAATGGTGATTTTGTAATCCGGAACGGTGATTTTGTAATCTGGAACTACTGTATGTACATAATTAATATTTGTACGTGTTAGATTTATTATTTTTTTTCGATAAAATCTGTTTTCAGTAAAATTATTAATATAAATTTTGCTAAAAAATTTAAGAAAAGCTTGTAATAAATATTGTTTCTGGTCTGCATGATATATATTTCGTTTTTTTGTCTGTAATAATTCTCATTTTTTATTAATATAGATGTCAGCCGATGTTAAGTTATTAGCGTATCAAGAATCTATATATATTCACAAGAATGTCATTATGATTAAGTGTCCGGAAATGTATAAAAAACTTTTTATGCATAACTCAGACAGGTAAGTATTCACGACAGAAACAATATTGTTCTTATTAAGAATTCTTATTAAGAATTTAAACTTATTTCACGTTGTACGTCATCGTATTCTCAATAGTGTCATCATACGAAATGATTTCTCTGCTGCTTCATATAAATCCTTCTTAAAATATGTATACACTGGTGTAATTGACCTACCTTATAAGAATCCATTAGGTAAGTTCGAGTTAAGTATATTGTCTGATTGTATCGTAATTACTTATAAATTATGACTAAAGTAACATTTCGTTACAGAAACCTACGTATTAGCTTCTTCTTACGGTGATAAAATGTTTCTGAAACTTTGCATTCGGACACTAAAGCAAGAGATCACCATATTAAATGTCATGCATTTTTATGCCGAGGCGATATCACTGAAAATAAAGGTAATTTTTTTCAATATCACTTTTAAACTTTCGCATTCTATGATTAATTCAACGTTCTCTTTATCGATTCGACAATAAAATAAAAAATTTTTGATTTTGAAGAAAAAAGCATCGTATTTTATTATGATGCATAAATATATTTTCAAGTTTTAGTAACATTTTTGTATTTTATAATTTAATAAAGTACTAAACATCACAATTTAATGAAGTATAAAACACATATTTCTAGATGTTGCAACATTTTATATTTTTAGTTTGATTAATTATTTAAGTATAATTCGATATTTGAACTGCTAGAATAAAATATAATGTCGGGTACATGCTTCACTGTTGATTTATAAGGATTAACACTATTGTTAATTGCAATATACTCATACATGTTTATTTATAAGCTTGTCAAATATCACGTAATTTTGCAGAAACTAGAGGAGTTCTGCTTCACGTATGCCATAAATAATCTGACGGTTGTGGTGAAAACAGAAGGTTATGCTAAATTATCAGAAGAGATACAGTTTAATTTTATAATAAAAGCGGCCAATGCCTGCGCTTTTAAATATTAATTTGTTTGCCTAGGTATTATTTATTTGCCTAGGTATATTTATTGGTCTATACATCTATTAACATATACTAATAGCAATCTGATAAATTGATAAAAAATTAGTATAAATAAGTTGTACTTGTTTTAAATATGCAAATGTACTTTATTTAAATTTGCATTTTAATCGTCTTCGTTTATATTTTTTTATTCGTAACATATAGCGTGAGCAAGTAAATTTGATACATGATTGTAACATTAATTTGTATGCGCAAATTATGTTGTGTTTTTACGAATATTTTTTATGGAATCTTGCTTCGGCTAAAGTTAATCTTGTAAGACTCTTATAATTATTTTAGAATTCGCGCAAATAAATATAGAGAGAGACAAAAAAAGCTGTCGTACAGAAAAGATAAGTTTTATATTTGGTGATTTATATTATGTGATGATTATTATATTATAAATAAGTCTAATATTTGACAAATTTTGATCTTCCAGTTTTGAAATATAAAAATTAAATTGATTAAAAAAGACATAAATTTTTTTAATTACAAAATTAGATATGTACATTTTATACATTATTTATTATTAATAATTTTATAATTTAATTTTTATAATAAAGTCTCCGACTTTGAATTTGTATCACAAATCTCAAGACGCGAAATCTCTGAAAACGTACTAATCATTATTATTCGCTAGAAATTGTATCAATTCGGTTTAAGTTGTAATATTGCGTCTCTCACCCTGCCGCACGCTCTTTTCATTTGAGAAACGAAACGCGCGTCCGAGGTTTTCACCGAAGTTTCTGGTTGTTCGAACAACTAAAACGCGAAGGATATATAGTTGCAGCTCGGCCGCGGAATGCGTTTTCCATGCCGAGGACTCCTAATAGACATAATCTAAAATAATTATTGGAATTTGTTACCGCACATTATTTAAGATACACGGAGAAAATTTATTATCAGAAATAACTATGTAGGGTTCTGAAGGAATTATAAAAACTTTTACTATGTTTTTCATATGTGAAACATAGTAAAAATTTTTGGTCCGCGGCTTTATGGTCCGCGGTTAATGTCGTACATAGTAATTTTTGATATAAAATTTTTTCCGTGTAGCAGAAATACGAATAATAATGAAGTATATAATTGATGCAAAAATACCTTTGATCCTTCAACAGTCTTGTTGACGTCACTCAAAGTTAGATAACTTGTTTTTAAAGCAAACTTTTGCAAGAAAAACAAATTGCCGACTTTAATCACAGTTGTTTCTAGATGCATTATCCTATGCTATTATTTGATATCATTATTAATTTCGCAGTAAATAAATATATTTGCGTTGCATATCTACAACACAAATATATTTTTTATTATTACATATCAGTGAATGTTGAATAATGTATTGTGAGCAATCCGACTGTGTAAAACGGCGTGTCGCCCATCAAGACTTTTGAATCTTCATATTTAATGCATAATTTAAAATAAGTTTTTATATTTTCTAAATTTTTGCAACTTTAAATTTTGTTTTATAATTATTATAAGATTAACACACAGATTAACATTTTTAGAAGGATTAAAAAATTAATACTGTTAATCAAATTAATAATAATTATAAATGTCATTAAATTCGTTAAAACTTTTCGTAAGAACATTGATACATTCAAATTTCTTAGATATTATGATGCTTTATTTCGGAGAGATATTTATTTGTCTCTTTCTCCCTCTCTCTCTCTTTATTTGTTTGCGTTTAATAAGAACGATCCGTTTGTTCGACTTTCCTTCTGCAAAAGAAGATTAAGAAATCAGTCAGAATTTAGCTGTGTACCTGTTGGTAAGCTCTACTATCTTCTACTTTTATTCATTTGTCATAATTAGTTATTATAAAAATAATTCAATATAACATACAATCGAACAAATGTTTTATAAATTGTATTATTATAACAAAAAGCGATGCAACAGTTTTTCTTTTATATCAAATAACTAATAAATTTGATTTTTTACAATTTACCGTGAGCCTTTTACGTAAGGTTGCTTTTATTTATGCAGTACCCATACATAATGTAATGACTTGTGCGCGCAAATAATAATGTCTTGTTACGGATACTTTATGCAAAGTTGCTTTTATCTCAGTAAATCTTATCCTTGTGCTAGGATTCACGTAAATAAAAATAGCAAGACGAACGAAATTATAATACAGTTGGAAAAGATGTTTCATCTAAGATCTTGCATCTATCTTACTTTAAAAAAATAAAGAATTTGAATAATTTTATTCTTTCAATATAAGAGAAAAAGGTATATAATTTGTTTTGCTGCAACACAATTGATTTCTCGCACTGCAAATTATGTTGTTAAAATATTCATATAATTCATATCGTCTAGATGTTTGTACAATAAAGTCTTTTATCATTGCTTCTCCGGTATACACAGTAGCTAAAGTAAAGTTTGAAAATAAAAACGTTATATGACTTAAATAGTCAATGTTTTGTTGTGTACAACATTGTATGTGTGAAATTTAATTGGGACTATAAGATCTCGTTCAAAACTTGTTAATAAATTTAAGATTCGACATTGAAGACAACATGTCAGAAAATTTCAAGCAACCATCGATTAATCTTCTGAGAAAGTCATTGCGGAAAGAATCACCATTGACATTACCGACAGAGTCACTGAAAGAGTCATCGGAAAAGTCATTGAGGAAGTCATCGAGAGAAACACCGAGAGAGTCACAGAGAGGAACCCCGAAAGAGTCACCGAGAAGAACACCGAGAGAGTTACCGAGAGAAACACCGAGAGAGTCACCGAGAAGAACACCAAGAGAGTCACCGAGAAGAACACCGAGAGAGTCACCGAGAGGAACACCGAGAGAGTCACAGAGAGAAACACCGAGAGAGTCACAGAGAGAAACACCGAGAGAGTCACCGAGAGAGTCACTGACAAATAATGATACATCGAGAAGAGCACTAATGACAAGTCCAAGCATAAAACAGTAAGCTGCCTATTTTTTTCTTTTTATCTTTTAGTCAGTAAAAATATATTGCCACCGTGCAACTGCGATGTTAGAATAATCGCAGATGTCAGTACAGAATCTGAATAAAAAGTTATGTAGAATAAATTTGACAACACTTATCAGATTAATAATTGACGTGGAAGAAAACTTGGAGTTCATGAATGACAACGATTCGGTAAACCATTATTTGCAAAGCAATGATTTGAAGCTCTGGCCGCTGTTAAGCATCTTGCGTACGGATTTTCTCTTACAAATTGACCTAGTCATGTGGTATGGATGTAATAACAAACGTAATTAAATATCTGTTTTATTTCTCTTTGTCATATTTTTATTTTGACAGTATTGTTACTTATATTAAATATTTTTTAAAACAGCTGTGAATTGGAAAGCGGTTTTAATTGTAACGGCAAATAAGAACGTTTACGGTGTGGGCAGTAGAAACGGCCAGTTCATATTAAACAATACAATTAGTACTCTACAGCCTCAAAAACTAGAAAATCTGTGTCAACAAAAATATCAAAACCATAACAGGCACTGCTGGAAGCTACTTCGTACTGACTGAAGAAGGAAAGGTATATTAAAAAGTTATCGATATATAATATGATGAAACGTGAATATATATATTGACGTTGTTATAAAAATATTGATTTTATTTATTGAAGATAAATAATTTCTTTTTATGACGTTTAAATTAGAAAAATTTAAGCATTAAAAAGAATTAACAGCACAACATTGCAAACGATTACAGATTTTGTTCTTTGTTTGAATAGAAAGTAAACGTAAAACTTCAAAGTTAGGATATGTGTGATATGTTGTGATACTTTTCATACTGTGATAATTTGATAAAGATCGGGACAACTAAGATGCATGTTTTATATGTTTATCTTTACGATATCATAGATATATGTAATTTTAATTATTAGCATATCTAATATTTTGCAATAAATACACAAGAAAATCTTTATATTGTCATATGTCAGATCTGAGATAGCTGTCTGCTCGGGCAGACGTATACGACAGCTCCGGTCTTTAAATTATATTTCCGGTTTCTTATTCTAAGAGTTACTGTTGAGTTACTGTTCTTATTAAAGTGTTCTCTGTTTATTTGAAGTGTTGTGTTGTGTTGCTTAATTTCGCGAGTTTCGTTGTCGTGCGTGAAATACCGGTTCGCGGACGTAACAATATTTTTTATATTCATATTTTTATATTTCAATTTAGACTATTTCATAGAATTTGCAGAAATTTCTATAAGTTTTTAAAATTAAATAGCATTTTGCACGCAGAATAATGCAAACCAAATATTCTTAACTTTTCCATTTTTATACTTGATTTTTGTAATATCGTGTATAAAGAAAGCGAAATACCCGAAATCTTTGACCATCTATTTTCTTTTTTAGGTATATTCCTGGGGTGACAATCAATTTAACACGTTGGGATATGATACATCCCGTCTACTCCCCAATACACTCGATGAAATGGTTGATATAAATGATGCATGGTTGACAATGACAGTGAACTACCCTCTTGAAGTGACTGCATTATCAGGCAAACGCGTAGTGGACATTAAATGCGGTTGTTATCATGTTCTCGTGCTTACCGACGATAAAAAGGTAAAGTGGAGGTATAACAATGATAATTGTGATCGTTGTGAGTTATGCAGTTTTTTTGAATTTAGGTGTATAGTTGGGGAAGAAATAATAGAGGACAAGTTGGTCATGCTGATCTTGAAACGGTTTCAATACCGACGGAAGTCATAATTGAGGATGAGTTGGGTAAAAAGGACATTCAAGGCATTTCTTGCGGCCTTGTTTTCAATATGGCTGTTACTTACGACGGCGAACTTTACGGTTGGGGCGAAAATACGTATGGTCAGCTTGGACTTGGAATTAATGGCGCCATGATGCATTTGAAACCTATGAAAATCATGATAGATGTTCCAATAGGTAATTTATTTTACTATTCAGTACTTACGAATTTTAAAACTAAAAATAATATTTAAAAGAGAGTAATTTAAGTTTTACATACAAAACAAGTTAGAAACTGTTTTGTGATATTTAATTACATAATAATTGGTTCAATTAGCTATGAGATAATGAGATCACGATATGTGAAGTAATTTAGCTTGATGATTTTATTAAGAGTAATAATATTTAATAGCTGAAAGAGAGAATTTCTGATCAATCTTAGAAACAAATTTCTGAATTTCTCATTTCCAAAGTATCTTGCGCATGTATTCTACATTATACCCGGATACTGATATCTTTTATTAATATGTAACTAATTATAAATGAATAATCCTAATTTCGATTTTATTTTTGTTACGTAAATGTTTGTCTTTTTCGTATAAAACAAATGAGAAAAAATTACTTTGATAGAAACAATTATATTTTCAATAATGATTTGAATGTCCGATTATTGTGATATTTATTTTATCTAAAACTTGCCGATGCAAGTTATTTCACTGAGCAATCGTGGTGTTTCAGCGAAAGTAGAATGCGGAACTGATCACACGTTGGCGCTTTCTTGGGAAGGTTTGCTCTATGTCTGGGGTAAAAATCACCATGGACAATTGGGCATCGGGAACTGTGTAAACTATGTATTTTATCCCACTCCGGTAATTGCTTTATCTTTATGTAATAATAATAGAAACGAAAGATGCATATAATGCAATAATCGAAGCGTTTGATGATCGACAGATAGACACAAGAGGAATGGGGAAGATAACGAATATCGCCGCTCGATTCGATTGCTCGAGAAGTCTGGCAATTAATAAAGACGAACGCATCTACTTCTGGGGTGCATATAAAGGCAAAAATTATTTCAACCCATCTGATGTTAACCTTAACAACATAGAAGTCGCGTTCATAGGTTCCAGAAGTTTTATGAAGATGTACTATCCTTGCACAAACCTGATCAAACTGCAGAAACTGTCACATGTCATGTCCCCAGCATATTTGGAAACTGCATTCAACAATTCCGTATGTCGTTTTCTTTATTTTGTATTTTTAATATTAATAGAGAGATGTATAATGAATGAGATTTACATACCCTGCATTTCTGGGGCAATTTTGAACAGGATTCTATACAAAATGCATCCTTTGTGATACATTAATTATAACAATGTACTCTTCAAATAGCTCTCAGTAATATCTTTTTTGTGGCCAGTTATTATAAAAAAAAGATAGAGAGTGTGCAAATACTTTTCTTTACTATTGCAGAGGCAACGAGAGATAAGAAACAGAATATATAGCTGAAACCTAAATAAAGCTGATAATATTCTTTCGTAGCTAAAATTATATTACATAATCAGTAAACATACACATAATATTCTTATCAGCATAATTAATATACATATATATGTATATACAGTAGTCGAACATAAAATTATTTTTCTTCACTTGAAAGATAAAAATTCATTTCCAGTGCTCGTACTCGGCGAGAGAGAAGTCAGTCTTATCAGACGCTTTATCAGATTTAGCTTATTCGAATTCTGCTGAAAACTTGCTACTGATAAAATTCACGCAACAATTACTAGAGAATAAAAAATTCTTTTTATAGTGTGTTAATCGATTTCGAACGGTGATTTTATAATCCGAAACTACTATATGTACATAATTAATAATATTTGTATGTGTTGGATTTGTTATTTTTTGCGACAAAATCTGTTTTAAGATAAATTATTACTTTAAATTTTGCTAAAAAATAAAAAAAAACATTTATAATAAATATTGTTTGTAATCTGCATCATATATATTTCGTTTTTTTATTTCTAATAATTCTCATCTTTTATTTATACAGGCATCCGCCGATATTGAGTTAATTGTGGATCTACACTCTTTGTACATTCATAAGATTGTTATAATGCTTCGCTGTAAGGAAATGTATGCACAATTTTTCCCGTATGACACAAACAAGTAAGCATTCACGACAGAAACAATATTGTTCTTATCATGAATAGTTTAAACTTATTTCATGTTATATGTCACCGTGTTTTTAACAGTGTCATCATCCGAGATGATTTCTCTGCTGCTTCATATAAATCCTTCTTAAAATATTTATACACTGGTGTAATTGACCTATCTTATGAGTATCCATTAGGTAAGCTCGAGTAAAGTATATTGTCTGATTGTATCATAATTACTTAAATTATGACTAAAGCATCATTTCATTACAGAGCTGTACGAGTTAGCTACTTTTTACCAACATCTAATCTTTAGGGAAAATTGTATGATAATAATACAAGAAAGGATTAACATATCAAATGTTATGCATTTTTATAAAGAGGCGATATCACTGGAAATAAAGGTAATTTTTTTCAATATCACTTTTAAACCTTCGCATTCTATGATGAATTCAACATTCTCTTTGTCGATTCGATAATAAAATAAAAAATTTTCGATTTTCAAGAGAAAAAAACATCTTATTTTATTATGATGCATAAATATATTTTCAAGTTTTAGTAACATTTTTATATTTTATAATTTAATAAAGTACTAAACATCACAATTTAATAAAATATTAAACATATATATCTAGATGTTACAATAGTTTATATTTCATGGCTTGATTAATTATTTGTGCCAAGTATAGTTTGATGTTTGAATTGTTGGAATAAAATGTAATGTCGGGTACATGCTTCACTGTTGATTTATAAGAATTAACGCTATTGTTAATTGCAATATACTCATACATGTTTATTTATAAGCTCGTTAAATATCACGTAATTTTACAGAATTTAGAGGAGTTCTGCTTCACGTATGCCATAAATAATCTGACGGCTGTGGTGAAGACAGAAGGTTATGCTAAATTATCAGAAGAGGTACAGATTAATTTTATAATACAAGCGGCCAATGCCTGCGCTTTTAAACATTAATTTGTTTGCCTAGGTATTTATTGGTCTATACATTTATTAACATATACTAATAGCAATCTGATAAATTGATAAAAAATTAGTATAAATAAGTTGTACTTGTTTTAAATATGCAAATGTACTTTATTTAAATTTGCATTTTAATCGTCTTCGTTTATATTTTTTTATTCGTAACATATAGCGTGAGCAAGTAAATTTGATACATGATTGTAGCATTAATTTGTATGCGCAAATTATGTTGTGTTTTTACGAATATTTTTATGGATTCTTGCTTCGGCTAAAGTTAATCTTGTAAGACTTTTATAATTATTTTAGAATTCGCGCAAATAAAGATAGAGAGAGACAAAGAAAGCTGTCGTACGGAAAAGATAAGTTTTATATTTGGTGATTTATATTATGTGATGATTATTATATTATAAATAAGTCTAATATTTGACAAATTTTGATCTTCCAGTTTTAAAATATAAGAATTAAATTGATTAGGAAAGATATATATTTTTTTAATTACAAAATTAGATACATTTTATACATTATTTATTATTAATAATTTTATAATTTAATTTTTATAATAAAGTCTCCGACTTTGAGAATATATCACAAATCTCAGGACGCGAGATCTCAGAAAACGTATTAATCATTATTATTCGCTAGAAACTGTATCAATTTGGTGTAAGTTGTAATATCGCATCTCTCACCCTGCGGTACGCACTTTTCATTTGAGAAACGAAACGCGCGTCCGAGGTTGTCACCGAAGTTTCTGGTTCTTCGAACAACTGAAACGCGAAGGATATACAGCTTCAGTTTGGCCGCGGAATGCGTTTTCCATGCCGAGGACTTCAAATAGACATAATTTAAAATAATTATTGGAATTTGTTACCGCACATAATTTAAGATAGCAGAAATACGAATAATAATGAAGTATATAATTGATGCAAAAATACCTTTCTTTCAACAGTCTTGTTGACGTCACTCAAAGTTAGATGACTTGTTTTTAAAGCAAACTTTTGCAAAAAAAAAAACAAATTGCCGACTTTTATCACAGTTGTTTCTAAATGCATTATTCTATTCTATTATTTGATATCATTATTAATTTTAGTAAATAAACATATTTGCGTTGCATATCTACAACACAAATATATTTTTTATTATTACATATCAGTGAGTGTTGAATAATGTATTATATGTAACAATCCGACTGTCAAAAACGGCTTGTCGCCCATCAAGACTTTTGAATCTCCATATTTAATGTATATGTATTTTAAAATAAGTTTTTATATTTTTCTAAATTTTTGCAACTTTGAATTTTGTTTTATAATTATTATAAGATTAACATCATTTTTAGAAAAATTAAAAGATTAATACTGTTAATCAAATTAATAATAATTATAATTGTCATTAAATTCGTTAAAACTTTTCGTAAAAATATTGATACATTCAAATTTCTTAGATATTATGATGCTTTATTTTGAAGAGATATTTATTCCACTCTTTCTCTCTCTCTCTCTCTCTTTATTTGTTTGCGTTTAATAAGAAATTTGTTCGACTTTCCTTCTGTGAAAGAAGATTAAGAAATCAGTCAGAATTTAGCTGCGTGCCTGTTGGTAAGTTGTACTATCTTCTACTTTTATTCATTTGTCATAATTAGTTATTATAAAAATAATTCAATATAACATACAATCGTACAAATGTTTTATAAATTGTATTATTATAACGAAAAGCGATGCAATAGTTTTTCTTTTATATCAAATAACTAATAAATTTGATTTTTGACAATTTGCCGTGAGCATTTTACGTAAAGTTGCTTTTATTTATGCAGTACCCATACATAATGTAATGACTTGTGCGTGCAAATAATAATGTCTTGTTACGGATATTTTATGCAGAGTTGCTCTCATCTCAGTAAATCTTATCCTTGTGCTAGGATTCACGTAAATAAAAATAGCAAGATGAACGAAATTATAATACAGTTGGAAAAGATATTTCATCTAAGATCTTGCATCTATCTTACTTTAAAAAAATAAAGAATTTGAATAATTTTATTCTTTCAATATAAGAGAAAGAGGTATATAATTTGTTTTGCTTGCAACACAATTGATTTCTCGCACTGCAAATTCTTATATTGTTAAAATATTCATGTAATGCATATCTATCAAAAAATTACCTTTTTTAAAAAAAGGTAAAAAAAATGCGCCAAGTACACGCTCTTGTCATAACTAAAACAAAACAGTATTGTTTTAAAACAATTTAACACATATAAAGGATTGTTTTACTTTTCAAAAAAATTGTCGTATATATTAAATCTTTCACAAAAACCTGTCGTATATATTAAAATTTTCAAAAAAAGCTATCTTATATATTTTTTATAAAAAAATATGATATCAGGAAATGGCACCAAGTGGGACTAAAGAACTATGAAAAAACTTGTACACTATTTCTATAAAACTCTTCTATAAAACTCTTGTACATAAAGCTGTCGTATATATAATTAATTATATTACATACTGTATTTTATCATAAAATATAGTATATAAATAAAAATATTTAATAAAAATTTAAATATTTAATAAAAAATAAAAATATTTAATTAAAAAATTAAAAAATATAAAAAATTTAATCAAAATAAAAAAATATTTATTAAAAAACGCAAAAAAACTTTGCGCTGCTACAGTAAATTACATGTTAATTTCATTACTTTA